CACCTAGAAATTTTATTTCATATACTCGTTCTATATTAGCTCCCCCTATTTTCACTTGCAGTTCATTATCTAGTCTACGATTCCCAAATACCATGAATTTAGTTTTATCCATATTCATAGATAGCATATTGCTATCACACCATTTCTTTATCTTCTCAAGTTCCTGTGAAACCTGTCCCGATAGTTGCTGTAGGTTATCCCCGGATGCCCATATGGTAGTGTCATCAGCTAATAAGACCATTTTCACTAAAGCCGAAACCTTGCACATATCGTTACTTTTACATATGTTACTTTTATTCTGTCTGCCCCAATATCTGATACAACACTTTCTCAAGTACAGCATTGTGCTGAACAGTAGGCTCACATAACTTGCTATTTGGTGCATTTGAATCAGTGTTGCAAATATTAGGTTTCTATTTTTATTGTGCTTTGCCACAGCTAATTTATACCCTCTTCAATGATCTCTCTTCTGCAGAAGTCAGCCTTCCATTGTCCACAGACACTCTCATACAAGAATGGCTATGCTCTGCCGCGTCGCCCCACTGTTGGCATTGGACAGGAGCCTCTTTTGTCAGAGATGCTGATCCAGCAGCAGCTCAGTCAGTTGACATGTGAGATGCCAGATATTACCCACGACTCCTGTGACAAGAGCCCATCTGAGGACTTCATCCCAGCTCATGTGGCCCTTGACAAGAAGGTACAGTTCCACCTTGAAGTGCAAGACTAATGATTTTTGTTGGTGTCTGATTAATTCCTTGTTTGCCTGTTCTTCACTGACCCTCTTATCTTGTAGGTGCTGCGATTCTATGCATACTTTGAGGAGGATATCCTGTTTTCTCCTGAAGAGGTGAACCGTGTGCGTCCAGTGATAATTTACTACTACCTTGAAGATGACAGCATGTGCATCATTGAGCCTATGGTGGAGAACTCGGGGATACCACAGGGGAAACGGATCAAACGGCAGCGTCTGCCCAAGAATGAACGTGGAGAGCATTACCAGTGGAAAGACCTCAACCTTGGCATGGACATGGAGGTGTATGGGGTCAAGTACCACATCACAGACTGTGATGCTTTTACCAAGGTACAACACATACCTTTATGCTCTCTGTTTTTAGTAGCTTTAATATTGTCTGTGTGTCTGAAACAAAAATATGGATGCATACCTAACAGAAGTCTGTCAGTGGAATTATATCCTCTGTGTGTGTATACAGGAATTCATGGAAAGTGAGGGCATAGTTCTGAATGACCCTGAGCCGATGCCAGTGGATTCTTACAGCGAACGTCGCAAGAAACCACAGCCTTGCTACACAACACCCTCTGAATTCGACCACTTGCACCAGTTTCTTACTATGGACCGCAAGGTAAAGGAAACTCTATTCCAAACCCGCAGGGTAACCACTACAGATACAAATACAATAGCATCTCTTCGCCAAGCTATTATAGAAAACCAAAATGATTTACTTCTGTGGTATTTATAACTGCCACGATGTAGACTGCAGTTGGTATTCTTCATGTGAATAAGTATGAGACTCCCAATAACAGCACTATCAAGATGGACATTATGTATCTGTGGTCACCTAGCTTAACTAAAAACATGTTATCTCATATTTTTAAACTTTATACTTCTGTATAAATATTGACATGAAATGACATGAAAACATTAACCAAAAAATACAAAGTAATTCTAAAAGTAGTGTTGTCCTAAACCTCTTGATTGTGTTTTAAGACATGGTGTTGGGAGGTGAATTAATAATATAGTCTCATTGTCCTGCAGGTGTTTGTAGCCTGTGATATTTCATTTGGCATACCAGTTCTAGTGGCAGGCTTTTAACGTCTTCTTGGCCAGGTGCTCCGTTTCTTTGCCTTGTGGGATGACACCGACTCCTTGTACGGGGAGACCAAGCCTGTTACCATCCAGTATTACCTGGTGGACGACACAGTGGAGGTCAGAGAAGTCTACGGACCCAACAGTGGCCGAGATCCTTTCCCTGTCCTGATGCGCAGACAGAGGCTTCCCAAGAAAATCAAATCAGGTGAGATGAAATGTAATGTCACTTTTAACTATATATTTTTATTTCTTTATCATCTGATACAATGGAGTGACGCAGTGCAAAAGCAGATACCATATGAATCTGGACATGCTATAGATTATTCTGATGTTTACATCATATAGAAAATCATCTGTAGCCCCCATCCTTAGCAGCTAATGCACTGCTAATGCAGCACATATCAGACATCCAAATAAATATTTGATTTATTCAGCACATTTCATACAAAAATATGACATAGAATGTTTCACAATAGATGCACAGAAAAAACTCAACAGTAGAGATATCAAATACAAAGGATTTTCTAAATGAGATAACATGAAACAGATTTAAGATCTAGTAAATATGATCATATGACATATTTTTAATTTAAAATACACTTAAAGTACTGTAATACTCTATTTCTTTCCAGAGAACTTCCCCACCTGTGTGCTAGAGGTCTCGAAAGATGAAGTGGATGAATACTACTCACCCAAAGACTTCCAGCTGGGTCAAACCATTACGCTGCTGGGTCGTCGCTTCCTGCTGCATGACTGTGATGCCTTCACCAAAGAGTATTTCCAGAGGAATCACCCAGACATGGACTTGAAACCCATTGAGGTACCAAAGAAGGTCGACATGTTTCAGGGCAGGAAGAAGGTGAGAGACAAAACTGTATTTTTAATGTTATTTACTTTTCTTTTTAAATCTATTGCGGGTCCTTGCTGGTGTTGTAAATAATTTTTTCTCATCTATTGCCCTTACATGTCCACGTCTACAGGAGATTCCTCCCTACAATGGTTTTGGTTCACTTGAAGACTCTCTCCAGAATTGTTTGTCTCTAATTCCCGAACCTCCCAAGAAGAATTTATTAAAGATCCTGGAAAACGACCACAAAGTTTTGCGCTACAGCGCCACACTGGTGAGAGCACACCGGAGAATGTATTTGTCCTTCTTTGACTGAACCTTCTGAATGACTAGCGAATGTTACAGGTCACCAAACTGCAGTGTGATAAAATAAGCTATGTCTAAGTCAAACCTTGCTGGTCATTTTATAATTTATCCCCTGTCCAATATTACTGACATTCCAGGATTCTCAGAATCCCCAAGATGAAGGCCGACGTTTTATACTGTCCTACTTCCTGTCCAATGATATGATCAGTATTTTTGAAAAGCCCACTCGCAACTCTGGTATAATCGGTGGCAAGTTCCTGGAAAAGACACGTGTCCCCAAGCCGAACTCTACGCTGGAAAATCCTGAGTTCTACTCACCTGCAGACTTTGCTATTGGAGCCGTTGTGGAAGGTAAGATTCTTAGCTTAGCAGGTGCAATTTTACCTTTATTTTCAAAATACTCTGAAGCTGACATTGTTTCACAAAAAAAAAGGCAGCATTGTGTAGTTTGTTGCTACAGTACTAAACATGTCTTTCTAGGTACATTAAGCTATAGCCGACATCATTATTGTCTAAGTTAAACTTCAGTAGTGTATCAGTTGATAAAACCTAAAAGCTCAGCTCATGGCATCGTTCTGCCTCCTCTCATCTGTATTTTTTTTCCTTTCACATCAAGTTTTCAGCCACCGCTTTATTTTGACTGATGCTGACCAGTACGTCCTTACATACCTGGAGTCCATCTCAAGTCAGATCCCTTCTCAGACGCTGGATTCTTTGCGTCAGAAGCTCAGTGTGGAAACAAATAACCAGCCACGTAACCAAAAAGTGCAATCAGAAATAACACCCTCCTCTTGAATTGTCTGCAGGTGGGTGCCACTGCTTATGAACAGAGAATATACAGTAGTTTATGCCCATATCTCTTTCTTTATCAGGTGATGAAGTATCAGAGCAGCCTTTGTGTCAGGGAAGGCTCTTTCCACTCTTACTTCTAATAGTTTTAGCATTTTGTTGACCAAAGAAATTAGAAATACATCTCAAATACAGCAGAAGTGTCCACAACTCGTTTCAGAAAACTGCATTATTTAATAAAGTAATTAACAAAACAATTAAAAAGGAAAAAACATGGAATGCCATGCTGCAATAGCCAACATACATACTTGATGCATATCTGTTAGGTGATCAGTGACATATACAATTTTTAGACAGACGTAAATCACTGGGAGAAGCCCAGGTGAGCGCTCTACTGGTTGGCCAAAATCCCTTCCCTGCTGTGAAGGGATCACGTTAAAGCCAGCGTACAGTAAGCTTATATCATCAGTAATGTTATTCTGCTCCGATGGACCAGACTAGAAAACAAGCAAAGCCGGCTCAATGATAAGAGCTGTGAACAACATCGGACAGCACTAAAACCAATACAGTACTTGTGTATGAAGATATGCATCAACACATTCATATTTGACACACATGTCACACTCTGTGTTCGCTCTATATTTGAATCATTATGCATACAACAGTGCTCCTTAAAGTGGGATAACAGGCTGTGTGGATGTATAAAAATACTGTTATGATGAGAAGAGTAATGTCTGTTGGGCTCAAGGATTTCCTTAGATTTCATTTTCCAGCATTCAAGTCTGCAGCGAGCGAGTCCCTGTAGCATGTCAGGACTTACTCAACCGGAAGCTTGGTGACCAATAGCTGCCAGCCTCACTGTTGTGCTGATGAGAAACCTTAGCCTGGGCTAAGGCCGCTGTTCAGGCCAGTCAGTGGGTTATTTTATGGAGACTTGAGTTTTTTGGTCCGAGGAGAGGCTCCGTTCTCAGCTTTAAGAAGTCCGTTTTCATGGTGACCAACTAGTGCGGAGACACAGAGAGGAGAGGTCAGGAGAAGTTGACTAATGCAGCACAGATCAGACATCCAGCGTGATCAGGGCTAGGGGTGAAATTTTTCATGGTGACCAACTAGTGCGGAGACACAGAGAGGAGAGGTCAGGAGAAGTTGACTAATGCAGCACAGATCAGACATCCAGCGTGATCAGGGCTAGGGGGGAAATGGTTCAAGTAAAAAAAAAAAAAAAAAAAGTCTAGTAGAACTCATCTGGCGCCTCAGAATGTAAACAACCAGAACTTGCAGAAGGACATAAAAACAGAATTAACAGAGCAGAGTTGTTTTGAAACGTGCATTTGGGCTATGATGCACTTTGTGTTGACAATGAATAAGGGTTAATGTTCTTTATATTCTTAACCAGAATTCTAAGGCAAACATTTAACTTTCTGCCAAATGAATGAAAAGCATGTTGAAATCAGCAGTGCCCTCCCCCGGCTTTACCAAACGTGCACAGAACTGAAAACTGTGACCTCAAAAACCATGATATGAGCTGAATCTGTGAACCATTCCACCCCTAATCGGGACACATCAAAAAAGCAGGGAATGATGAGAAGGAGAAACATGTTAAGCCAGGAATCATGACAAGTCACGTTCCTGAAAACCCCAATATTGTGAAACGGCTGCCGGACTCCTCAGGAACTATTTGTTTGGAGATAAGGTCAGTCAGTCTGTTAGGAAACATTTGACTGGGTGTTTATACTCACGTGAGTCTCTCTTCAGTGATCGTAGGGGTTGTTTTGTGGAAGCCTTCTTGCGAACAGCCTGCTCATGTCTGAACTCCCTCCAACGCCTCAGCTGGAAGCGGATAAACTTCCAGAGTAGCCAAGATTGGGTGAAACATACCAGCAGTAAAACAGTCATCCTGTAGGGGCCCGAGGCAAGAATAGTAGTGAGACTGTGTTTTTGAAAACGAGCCTGACATCGCAAGCCGAAATACTGAAATAACTCTGTGGCGGTGGTGTGTGTGTGTGTGTGTGTTTAGAAATATTCTTCATAATTTATTTCAAACATTCGTTCCAGGCAACAAGACTGTTTTCACTGTTTATTTAGCCGTGGTTGTCCCTGTTTGCAACCACTTTGACTGTGGTTGTCCAAGTGCTACTGTGTCACAAAAAGCAAAAAGTTAAAATAATGTTTGCTGACCTGTAAAATATATTCTGAGATATTCCTTTTGTTCTGAGTAGTCACACTAACTGATCATATGGAGAGCTGTGTTTTTACTCTTTTCTGTCAGTGTCAAATTTCCTGGCTACATCGACTGTGGATTTATGCTGTAAAATAATAAAAACACAAGAAAGTCTACACCTTTATGGGCACCAAGTGTATTTTAACTATAAAGTTGTTATAGCAGCTGTAAAAAGTCATGGCAGAGCCACAAAGAGAATATCCACAAATGTTGGACACAAGTCATTATTTTGTTCAGCACTGTCTGCTCACATAAGGTGTTACCTTATCAATACAGTGTTGAAGTTGCCCGTCTCCAAATCCAGCTCCTGGTTCTCAGCACGAGCCAAACCAAACCCAACAGCAAGGAACATCAGGGTCAGAGTGGCCATCCGTGTAAACACAAAGCTGACCGCCCACAGGTCAAACCTGAGGAGCACAGTGACATTATGGTCAATTTAAAAGAAAAGCTGCTGAGACAAGCAAATCCATTTGATGAGAAGGAGAAAAGAACAGCCAGGAGACATGGAGTTCAAGGACTTAAGTGTCTGTGATAAGATTATACCAAGACGTCTAAGGGCAAGTAAAATACTACTTACATTTTCTGATGGTTCTCATCAGTGAAGTAGAAGAGTCTGGCAACATGGAAGCCCAGCTCTGACACATACTGGAGGAAGAGGAGCACAAGACCCACACGGCTCAAACTACACAGGAAGGAAGAGACAAGCCATCACCCGGAGGTGATGAGAAAGGCAATAAGGTGGATATGATGACAAAACAAAAGAGCAGTGGGAAACATCACTGGAAACAATTTCTAGACTGTTGATAACTCGGCATAGATTGTTTAAACTAGCAGTGAAGAAGGAATGTAAGCTTAGAAATACACTGCAAGGTCACCCATTCATTCTGTGGGGGCTCAAACATCACTTTGAACCGTGGGACTGTGTTTTTCTAGAATTTGCAGGTTTTCAAAATCGTCCTGCTGGATGCTTACTTTAATAAATAGGCTGCAGAGATATGCAGCAGATACAAGCAGATGTACTGCAGCTGACGAGAGAGCTCCTCCTGAAAGACAAACGGCAAAGTTTAAAATCCTGGAGACTTCCGTTCTTTAATTTGTCTAAATACACATACGGTACATGCAGAACATACGCATACAGCTTATCTAGTCACACTCCTGAACCCTTCCAGCTCCCAGGGCCTACT